CGACAATACCGGCACCACACCTATCCATTACAGTGCGAAAATTGCAGCAGCGACTAGCCCATTGCAACAGTCGTTGCCCGTTGCAACATGCAATGATGCTCATTGTAGCTACAATGTCACGTGCTGCCACTGCATATTTCAACCTTTAAATTGCTAAATTCAAGGAAAAAAAAATATAATCAATCAACTTTGATGAGTATGTTTTACTCAAGAGTTTTATACTATTTTAACTTGATTAATGGCTAGATTTTATGAGCGTTGAACTTTTTAACGTGTTTATTAGAGTTGTGTTATAGGTTTGGTAAGGCGGTGTCAATTGATGCAAAAGAAGAAAAAAGAGCAAGGTCCAAAGTTTTGGGAATAAAGTTTAAATTCTTAAAAAAATAATATCGGACCTCATGAAGAAGATTTGAGAATGTTAGGGGTAAATTGGATGCAATTAGAAGTCAAAATGAGCGAAATATGACCAAAAATTTTCACAAATCAATTTTCAACCTACAAGGATGTTCCAGATTTTGAGCCAGATACTGACACTCATTTTTGGCCTAGTAAACGTTTGAATTGGAAAAGAGATACATCTAATAAAATTGTATCCCTTTGAATTATCTTTACAATCTAATTCAAATCGCCTCAACGGAATATAGGGAAAAACAAGTTATGATAAAAATATTGAAGGAAGCGCAGTGCTAATTTATATTCGAAAGGTGGCACTGCCTATTGTAGATTTGGGTGTGGTTTTGACCCTTTTGAAACCCATAAAAACTTCAAATTCAGGAAAAACGTTAAGGAAATTATAAATACAAGAATGAAGGCACTTTTGAAGGAGGTTCTACATATTGAGATACATAAGAACATAACTTGTGATTGAGAGAGCAAAATCAAAGGATAAAAAAAAAATCTAGAGCTAGGGTTTGGAATCAAGATTTCATACAAGAAGAGAATTTGATGCAAAATTCATCCACTTTGCCACATATCCATTCAAATCCCAGTGATATACTTCATTATTGTTAACTATTTTCCTTCATCGATCATGAATAGCTAAGCTTTTTATTATGGCAAATAATGTAATCTATTTTAAACCCTTTATTTCTTTTATTCAAAAGTCTTGTTATTTTATCATATATTTGTTGATTTTACTATAAGTTTAATGCATTGAATTACTTAATAACTGTTTTATGAATCTTTTATGAATTGAGAGGTAAGTTTAAGATTTAGAAAACCTTGTAATTTAGTATAACGTGTAGAGATGCCTATACTGATTATTGCGGCCATTATATGAATTCTTAGAATTAATATTTCATTTAACTAAGATTAATTCGTATAGATATATGTGATTATTTAGTTAAATATGCTCAATGAAAACTTGAGAGGTGAAATTTAATACAATGAAAGAATTCGATCAAACACTAAATTGTTATGTCCTAACATCTCATTCCATATTTAAATTTTAAAATTATCTTTGTGTGCATCCAGCTATTTTCGAGTGTTAGTATAAATCACAACAATATGCAATTCTTCATTTGTTTTTGTCAAATAACATTTAAAAATATTAAAGTAAATATTAAAGTATAGTTTTCGTGGAAATGATAATTCGGACTCAAAGGTTCAATATATTACTTATTACAATATCGTACACTTGCAATATATAAAAACGCAACAATTTATTTATTTAATTTTTTTTTTTTGTGTTTGGAAAGAAATCATTATAGAATTATATTTTTGTTGAATTCTGCAAACTCATTTTCCTATCTTAAACACGAACAATCACGATGTGCAATCCTCAGCTGACCAATTGCTAATCTCCAATGAAAATCCATACATGAAGCAAGAATGAGATAATAGGGGTTCTCCTTCATTTTATTATTATTATTATTTTTTTTATTTTTTTGTGCTACCAAGATTATGAATTGTATGTTATGATTTTTCAAACTCTAGCAACCTATTAATAGAAGTTCAAGTGGATTTCGCCCATCTTAAACTTATATTAGTCCAATTAGTTAATTAATCCTATTAAATAAATTTGGCCCATAAGTTAATTAATTATTTAACTTAAGTTCATTAATAAATAATTTAATTAATTAATTTTACAAATTTCCCAGATTTGTTAATTAATTAATTTACATTTTCATTCTTATAGTTCTCCTTTTTGTGTGTGATCCATTAGGTTTCTGATCACGATGCCTAATAATGTAAATTATTATTTTGATTTTAATTTATCATTACTTCATATAGATTAATTAATTTACACTCGTCGTCCTTGATTGATATGTAGCAATGTGTTCGGGCATACATGTGACGAAAAATGTTACGTGGTGCGATAAAACTTAACTTGTTCAGCTACCATGAAGCTATAACCCTTTTGGCAATAGAATTCAGTCAATCATGATATATGGATATGTGTCAATTTTGATTTATCGATCATATCTTTCATCTCTCTCTTAAGTCAATACATCGAAACTCTTTTCAAGTTACATAAGTACCTTTGCCAATTATTTTGATAACAACTTAAGCGGATGAAACATAGATAATAATATCATACTATATAAGAGTAACGATTCCTATATTCGCATTCACGGCCTTCTTATGATTCTTGACATATTCGAACAATATTGTATTAGTGACTCTTGACAGTGTAACATCCAATATCACCAAAGTATGATTGTCCTCATATAAAGTGCTATGATGATCTCAAGTCGAAGAACCTACTACTAAATGTTAGAGATTAACCACTGACACTCGAATATTTATCCATATAGAATCTCTCTAGTGCATCTCCAATGTTTTGTTCTCTCAACAAAACATCCACGTATTCATTTATGTGTTAGTGAGAAATTTCACATGTATCGATTTATCCGTAATAATGATATCCATATCTCGTTATCATTTACCACCATGGATGATTTAAGATTTTGTCATTTGTAATTTGTATCTCAGAATCACAACTCATTAAGATTAACAAAATAATAAAACTTTAATCTATGGACTCTATTATTTCATTTATTAGAATATTAATTCAATTAAATAACAGATATGTCATAAATAAAAATACATCAATTATATATTAAAAGTGTCAATTATACACACATACACACATTACAGGATGAGCAACGAGTGAGAGTGAGAGTGAGAGTGAGAGTGAGAGTATTTTTTAAGGGTATGCTTGATTCTTATGCCAGTTCCTTTATGAAAAACGCTACTTGTAATTTATTCTGGAATATCAGGTATCAAAACATTTCCATAATCTATAATTCATGTGCACAACTTCTTGTCAAGATCTTATCTCAAGCTTGTTACTTTCTTGAGGTCTAATTACCTTATCTAAAACCAGGGCAGATCCAGTGGTAAAAAATTATAGTGTAATTTTTCAAAACAATATAATATTAATGAAAATAAGTTAATACGCATTTTGATACCTTGAAACTGTCTTATAATTATATCATTATCAATATTGTTAAATAGATTTTGCTACTTGTATAAATTTGTTTACCATTTCATTTATAGACGTTAAGATAATGGCGAGTAAATCAAATTAGATGTAGGAAGTAAATGAATTGAAATAAAATTCACATTTAATTTAGAAAGTAAATGAAATTTAAGTTTAAAGCGAAAGTAATTTGAATGTAATTCAAATTATATTTAATCTGTAACGTTTTAAAAAATTTTGACATCATTTTCCATGTAAAATTTTCTAATAAAATGATGTAAATTATATTGAAAAATTTATCGTGCAAAAATAATAAATATTAATGAAATAATTGAATTTTTAAAGAGAAGATGAGTCAAACACCTATTTTAGTACGTTCGTTTGACGCATATTTAACTACTTTCAACATCCGTTTGGACCATTCAATATGACTACGATGTAGTTCTCGAAAAAAGCTTCTTAATGATAGACAATTTGTGGATTTGGATGGTATACGATCATTGGAAAATTTTAAAAGTTGACATATTATCGAAATATTAATTTGGAACAGCCTAATATGATGCATCGTAACTTTTGCTAAGGTTGATCATTTTGCTTGCCATTCAGAAGCGAAAAACTAGGCAATGAGCATTTTGAAATGATAGTAAGAATACAATATTTCGACTTCATTTGATATGTGTTAAAATAGGTCATAAATGGGTTAAAAACACCCATGTCGGTCCACTCGTGTCTAAAACCTTAAACTAATTTAAATTTAGTGTTTAGCATGTACATGTATGATTCATTAACAAAACCAATTGATAATAAGTTGATACAAGGTTTACAATCAGCGATCATACCATTCGCACAAATTTTTTAATAGTTTGAGAAGAAGATATTTTTCTTGAATGTGAAAGGTACTTTAGATTAGTTAGCATATGCAATTTTGAATTGCATGTGAAGAGGTTAATGATATAGTACTTGTAAAATGAATAAATTTGATGGAAATTAATGTGAAAGAGACATGTCCAAATTTATACAGTATCTACATTGATCTAGCTATGGCACTATGTTAAAGTCAGTCAATTAGCAACAAACAGAAATATTGTTCAGGTTTGTATTTGAAGAAAATATTTTCTCGGAATAATTAAATTCTGAGTCAAATAGTTCGAAACAAATTGAACCACACATGATTAATACCCCTAACGATGTGCATTTTGTTGTTTTTGAGGATATCTCACCAGTTGTCCCTCTGTGGGGATGAATGTAATAGGAGAATTAACTGATTACCAATCAAGTCCCGTAATTATAGAATTGACAACTTTTACTTTAAGTGACGCGAGTAGATGTTTTTGGCTAAGCTATCGAGCATGCTCCGCTTGATCCACAGCAAAGCTATCAACATCCATTTGGCTTGATTATCCCTCATCTTCTACAATCCCATTTCAAACCTCTCGTGTACATATCTGTCCCACCCTCAAATCTTGAATGAATTAAAACTTAATTAAACTTTTATCATACATAGAGTCAATGTAAATCAAGTGGAACAAACGATAAGATTTTATTAGTAACTTGACGAACTAAGTTAATCAATCATAACAGAGAGAACAAAAATATTCCATGACTTGATAGTAAAGTGACAATTCTTCTGAGAACAAAGTGCACATCACATCAAGCCACATTTTTACCCTCTCATTGAAAATTACGAGAATTAAACATAATCTATCTTTTTTACTACTTGACATCATAACTGGGAGGTAATTAAACTGTGAATTATATGAATTAAGCTGCACAAACAATGAGCGAAGGTGAATCCAGCTGCACTTTCACTGGTCTACAGGGTTCCATTTCCAAAGCTATTGCACAATTTTCTTCATCCTTTTTCTCCTCTTGGGCACTGGTCTTTTCTTCTTTAAAATCTCTACAGGATTCTGAATCAGCTGGATGAACTTCTGGGGTTCCTAGAAGTATAATGTTCTTCACATGTTCTGGTAATTTTTTCTCTTCTATAACTGGCTTCGAGTTCCTATAGATCCCATAAAGTAACATCTGAACAAGTCCCAACCCGAATCCAAGAACATTGGGGAGCTACATATCGAGAGAAAGATAAAAGATAAAACTAAAGTTAATTTTATATAGCAAGGATTGAATCTGATGAAAATTAAATTATAATTTTTAACTTACTGCAATACACAAATCTTTGAGAAGTACACCATAGGCAAACCACATGACTGCATTTAGTGTCAAGAAAAATGACAAGAAGAATGGCATGAATTCTACACTTTTAGTTCTGACGACTTGAAGCTGTTTAAAACAAAAAAACATGAGGAAAAATTATTAGAATTAAAATTAAATTTTATGGATAAAAAAAAAAAAAAAAAAACCATGTTTACATGAGCACTCTTAGTTCAATTAAGCTACTTATACATTCATTTTGTACATCTTGATTAATATTCCATGATGTGTAAAAAATCTGGCCATTGACTTGAATAACACATTCAAATAAGTGGCTAGATTACCTGCTACAACATGGAATGGCCACAAAACTGTCAATAAAAAATCTAAGTATAGCAAAATTGTTCTTAATTACCGTAATGCTTAATGGTGCTGCAAACACACTGACGGAGACAGCCACGGAAATCCATCCAACCACCCGAATGCGAGTTTCGCCATCGAAGATGAAGAATGAGGCAAGAAAAATCAAGGCGAACAACGCAACATCCACAAGGCCTAATATTTTGATTGTGCGGTTCTGCAAAAACGAAATTAATTAAAAATTAGTAATTAAATACATTAAACCCTTATTTGAACCTCATTCTTGCAAAAAATGCATTTTTAAATAATGTATTGATAAAAAATGTGTGGTTAAATATTAAAAAAAAGTCATGAATTTCGTGTAAGATTATTTTATTAAAAAATGTGTGGTTGAAGTGATGTCAAATCGCTGTTGAAAAATATATTTTGATGGAAAAAATGAGACTCAAACAAGGGCTAAAAGTAATTAAGAAGGATATACACGACCGATCTATTAAGCACAAGTAATAGGCTTATGCTAAGCACTTGGATGATATGACACACTACAATAGATGGTAGGAGATTATGATTGCTTACAAAACTGATTACACCACTTATTGTAGTGTATCACGTCATTTTGGTGCGTAGCTTATACCGATGCTTACGAGATTATATATGCAGTTCACTTACTCTAATATTTTTGGATGCGTACGAAATGTACAAAGCGATATAAATTGTTTCTATAACACATCCAAAGGAGTTGATAGATATAAGCAGAAGGGCATTTCCCTTCAAGAATGCGTAGTACATCCATAGCAAAGACGAAAAGAGTGCCACGATATATGGTAAAGCATGGAATCTCATCGTCGATTTTTCTCTATATATCCTTATGAACGTAGGCCTGAAAATCAAATTGATATGCATCCTCTAAATACTTCAAATATTATGATTTAAAATTTTCTTTTTTAGTTATAGAAATTAATAAATGGTGAAATACTTACAAAGGTGCAAGATAAACACATATAGATATGAGGTTTCCTGAAAAGAAAAAAATGGAAATTTCCATCAGTATGATACGCATGTAACTAAAAGAAAAATCAGTCATATTTTTCTCTCATTCAATGCCTGAAGCATAATATATTGATTGTCATAGTCCAAATGGGATTTTGTGAATAAAGAAAAAAGGATAAGAAAATAGTTTTACCACCTCGTCTAAAAGAGATGAACATTTATTCATTTAAATCTAAAAAAAAAGTTATTAAAAAAAGGTTGATTTGCCTTAATAACGAGAAAAACTTCGGTGGGGCGATCGCACTGCCACCTTCGGTGGGACGGTCGCACAAGGTGGCGGTGCGATTGCCTGTTAGGATGTGCCACCTCGATGGGTGGCCTAAACACCTCGGGGGTGTGTGGTGGTGGCACCTCGACATCGATGGTGCCCCCACCAAAGATTTAGTCCTTAATGACCCATGGAACCACCTAGTCATTTAAAAATGAGAAAAAGATTTTGGCTTGTTAAAGTTTTTCAAATAATTACAAGGAAACAAAATAAATAAATAAATTATCGGAGAAGCAAACAATTGAACTACTTGGTTTCAAAGCCTAAGCTTTAAAAAAAATAATTTTGTCTTGTTGAAGCTGTTCGAGTAATTACGAGGAAACCAAAAGAATGACGAAAAATTAGAGATTGAACCACCTCGTTTCAAAACTTAAACTTTTTTTTTCCTCTTAAAAAAGCATAGAACGTTTAGTTTACTTAATTTAAACAGAATCAGTGAAGCAAATGAGTGATTTAAAAATGTTTCGGACAATTACAAAGTATCAATGAACAGAAGAGCATGAAAGAAAGGGACTAGAAAATTATAATATATATTTTACCTAAGATACCAAAAACAAACGTCCATTGGTGGTGAACCGCCATTTCTGATACTCAATAAATTCTTAAACCTCTCTCTCTCTCTCTCTGAATTTCAAGTATTTAAAGCCGAAGGGTCTCTATGAAACCCTCTCTTTCTCTCTCTCTCTATGGCTACTCTCAAAATTTCATGTAGGATGGGAATGAAGTATGGAGAGAATGATATTTATATTGGGGAGAGAGAGAGAGAGAGAGGGTGCGCATTACACTAGTCTATTTTGCATGACTAGTGGATTCATAGTAGGTGGCGTACAATAAAATCATTCACCAAGCTACGTATGTTTCTCTCCCTCACGTGTCCCTTGCACTTGCGGGCATGAATTAGCTACGAATTCGCATTATTTGCAATTTGGACTGTGCATTTTTTTGTTCAGTTACCCCGTCTGTATCCAATGAATGGTCGAGATGGAATTTAATTTGGATTTTGAGGGTTAAAATTAGACAAGATTACGACGGGATAACCAGATTAAATATAACAAATAAACTTATCGAAATTAAATGATTGCGTATACTAAAGAGCGCCTAGTTTCTCGAGATGTATCATGGCTATGATTCGATTATAGTACTAGTATATCATTTTTTTTAATGAAAAAACCCGTAACCGCTGTCTTTTGGATGTGCACTGGGTAAACCCTCGGGCTAATGCAATAGCCTGCAAACCATGTCAGCCAGGTAAACCACACTAGGCAAGTTCGGTGCGGCAGGCTCGACTGAGAAAGTGTTGGTAGGGGGATATCGAACTCGTGATTAAAAGCCTTTGCGGTCACATACTCTACCAACTCAGCCACCCCATGAGAGCTAGAACTGGTATATCTTTATACTACACGTGACTGCGAAAATACAACTAATCAAATAAAATATTAAATGAAATGACGAGATACAATATCGTTGAGAGCATCCAATTTCTCTAAACAGATGAATGACACACATGATCTATTTTCCCCGTTGATGGCTACCATTCAACTATAATACTAGTCCTTTAGACAGTATTCAACACAACAATGACTGGAAAACTGGATCCAATATAAAATTAGAACGAGTGGTTGAATACCGTCATGACCATCCAATTTCTCAAGACGAATGATCGATCCATGATCATTTTGGACCTTGATGGCTATGGTTCGATTTCATTAGTACATCTTTAGAAAATACTAGGTTACTGTGATAGGAGAATCAGATCAAAGATGAAATTAAACAAAATGACATGATCGCGTGTTGTTGAAAACACACAATTTCTCAAGACGTATGGCTGCATACATGATCCATTTTTGACTTTGACGGCTATGGTTCAATTATACTAGTGCATTTTCGGACAGTATTGGAATTGACTGTAACAAGATAACTGGTCAAATATAAACTAAAACAAACAAGCATGACTGAGTATCACTAAGAGCGCCTAATTTCTCTAGACAAATGACCAATATACACGATCTATTTTCTTATTATTATTTTAATGAATAGATTCAATTATGACATGAGCACATCTTTAAATAGTACTAGACGGGATTATAACAGAACGACTAATTTAAACATAAGATAAAACAAACAACGCAATCGAGTCATGCGATTAGAGCAAGGTGGGATGAAGAAGTGAATTTTACGTTACATTCCCATAAAGCAAAGAACCTCGTTGTTTATGGAAACTTTGAGACGTTTTTCTTGTGCCTTCGACATTAATACAGCAGAAAACATGGACCCTGGAAATCACCACCCTACGATTTTTGTCTTTTTCTTAATTGTATTACTCTACGTCTATACTTATGTTTTTTCTTGATTTGGTGTGATTATTGCATGATTTCGTGTGTATATTGCAAAACCGATAGTAGTAAGTATTCTTGTAGTTTCTTGACAATGAAGTTGAACTCGAACGACGACATGACACGACGTAGAACACGTTTGGCAAATATATCGGTAGTTTATATGTCACGAGAGCCACACAAATTAAAGACATAAGTTGGAATAGTATTACGATAAACGATAGACTTCAATACCCGTAGAAGTAGGACATCTCAAAATTTAATCTTTAAAGATTTTTCTAGTATTGATTACATTTGGTGTGAGTAGGAGTTCTGGAATTGGACAAGAGAATTGAATTAGCAGAATTGTCAGTTTCAAGCAAATAATTGTACTGATGATAAGTTTATATGATTAAATGAATAGATCGAAATCCATGCATATCATTTGTTTTATGATTAAAACGACAATTGAGCTCAACCAGTAATCATATATACATCAATGGCTGATATTATTTCTTATATGTGGTGATCAGACTGTTTGGTGGAGCCTAAATTTATGTAACACAGAACATGTGTCTTCATGAAATGCTTATCCGGTTCCTCTTCCAAACTTGTACATTTTTTTACACGGAACCCTAATAAATGAATGATTATTGATGTAAGACTAAGATCAAATGAAATGTTAACATCTGTGTTTGCACAATATGTTCATTCCATTGATCCTCTCCTACATTGCCACAAAAGGGGAGCGGAACAAGACTACTCATATTTAGATTGAAACGAACATTTTGGGCTATTTAATTTTGTTAGGGATTTGATGTGAATGGCTATGAGTAATTGTAAATAGAATCAAACTATAAGCATCAATGTTGTTAAAATTCAACAATTTCGATAATTCAACAATTTCGATAAAGTTGGTCTGATTATAAAATAGAAGGAAAAATTGTCCAAAAGTGCAGTATTTAACAATAATGTTATTCATAGTCAAGGATTGCATTATGATCCTACGAGGCATTTTACGTGACATAATAATTTAAAAAATGAATAACTTTTAATAATGCTATGCCACGTAAAATATTACGTGTGATGACTACTATTATCTCTAACTATGAATAACGCTACCTAGTATTTAAACAAGAAAAAAAATGTAAATACCTTAAAATAAATCCTCCAAAGATAGTGGACTTGTTTTGGGTTACGTCCTTTAATTGGCGACTATCTGATCCCGCATTTAAGAATAATAACAATATCCTTTCGTGTGTGGCATTCCATCTATGTACTTACCTTCTTTGAAGGGAAGAAAAATAAAAATAATTCAATATGGAACTGTAAATATTATGTAAACCTGAATTATCTTGTGCCTTAATTTTCAACAATTTGAACATTAATGGCACCTAAACCCCATTTGAAAATGAAATGTGGAACTGTCATAATTTTTATATTAATGAGTTAATTTGGCAGGCCAATAGGGAGCTTCTAGGCTACATAAAATAATTCACACACAATTTTGAAATATGTTTACGTTTGCTCATTTTAATTAATAAACATAGAAAAGAAAAAAAAACATTAGGATCATTATCTCCATATGTTTTCATTAGACATGAAATTTATCAAGCATTGACACGTCTCATGCGTGATAAAGAAAATCATTTGCTAGTTAAAAAAGATGAGTTGAGGTCACTTAAAGCCGAGTAAAAAATATATGACAACGAAATCCAGATAGAAACTTCCGTGGGGCGGTTGCACCACGTGGCAGTACAACCACCCTATCAGGGCGTGCCACCTCGGCCGCTGGCCCACCATACACTCCTAAGGTGTGTGGGCCACCTGGCATGGCGACGTTTCGGCATTAGGCGGGCGCACCATCTTGGAAGACAGTAAAAAAATTAATATGTGAAAGTCAGTTAAAAATAAAATGTAAAAGTGTAGGACAATGAAATCTAAAGTAGGAAAACAGGGGAGGGTGTCATGATTTTGGGACACAGATTAAAAATCGACGACTGATTAATGGTAATAAATCAGTATAAAAAAACTCGTAGAAGTCAATTGATGAGCAGTAACAGAATGAGACTGATTATTGAATACGGAAGCAAGGACGAATGACATGGTCTTTGGGTGGGACATTAAAGATGATTGAAAGAATCCATTAAATTTTCTCGGACTTGTCTCTTTCTCTATATCTACGGAAGATGATATTGTATGTCGAATGATCTTACTTGTACATTGAGTTTGAAATCATTTTTTAATTGTGCAATGTGACGACATCACATTGGATAGTTCGAAAATAAAAAATCACTTTCCCACCAACACTTATTTTGAAAATAATGGAATGCCAAGAATGATGTCAAAATGTTAATATGCAAATGGTATTGTTGTTGCATTTCAATTATTGTTTAGTTCACATCATTGTTTACATTTAATTGGAGTTCAAAAAGTTGCGAGCGAGAAAGTGTTTATTTTTTTAAATTATTCAATGGTGTGTTTCCACGCGACATAATGTAAAAAATGATGTATATGTAGCATGATTGTACTATATTTATCACTAGTCAATTTACTATTTATGATTAATTTCCTTAACATTTATAAGTTTTATATTCTAGAATTTTATCTACTTTATTTAAAAGTATGAATAATGGATAAATAATTGATTTCAATTATTGCCCTTGTTCTTTTTTTTTTTTTTTTTTCTTCCCTGCATCAGACAATGGCCAAACTTAATCTTCTTAATTTATCCATTTTGTATTAACAACATTAGTTTGATTTTATAAAATGATCTTACTCCTAATGATAAAAAAATAGAAAGAAATTTGAGAAGCAAAAGACAGTATAAAATGTCATGTAATAGTCACAGAAAATAAATTAGCCACCCATTTTGAAAACACTCCTAATGATTATGTGTTAGCGGCTCTTCCATATTTGAAACAATTCACAGAGCAAGAGCCCTTCATTTCCCTCGGAGGACATGAACGAAATTTCCACCATACTATGGCTGTTTGGGAGTTTTTGTACATCGGTTTTGATCGTCCTAGCCATTTAGAGTGGCATAGTTTATAAGAAGTTGAGAAATCGGTGCTTGTTAACTTTTTTTCTTTTTTCTTTGGAGACTAATCTCGGGTGTTTTAAAAATTATTCAAAATATGTGTAATGTAATTTTGACCGTCTTTCTCAATCCACCAAATTAGTGAGTAATCTTTTCCAATTTATCACCTACAAAATAATTATTTCCAACCAACATATTTTGTTCAAAACTAACTTGAAAATAAAAAAGAATTATCTGAATAATTTATTTAAAAGCAAAAGAATTAGTTTATAACTAAAAATTTACTTATAAGATAAAAATACACATTTGTGCTAAAAATTGCTTGTAAAGTGAAAATACTACCAGTAAGACGAAAATTCACTTAGAAATTTTT